GCTATGGGATCTTGGGTCCCTAGAGGGCTGTGGGGTCTGGACCCCCCCTGCCCTGGCACCTGTACTGACCAAGAGAGGACTACGGCCCCTTCCACTCCTGGGGCTCTGGGGCTCCTTTCAACCTCTGAAATGTGAGTTGCCGTGTCTTCCTCTCCACGACTTCCCAATCGCGATATGGGAACCGATCAGGCTTTCCATGTTTTCAGGGTGCCCTGGGTGCTGGGAAGGAGGCCTAGAGATGCTTTTGTCTGACAGTTTGTTGGGGCGGTGAGGGCTTGTGAAACATTTGAGAACCAGGGATTGTTCCTTTTCTTTGATCTTTATCTTTGTTTTTTTTGTTGTTTTTTTGGAGACGGATTCTAGCTTTGTTGCCTAGGCTGGAGTGCAGTGGCTGGATCTTGGCTAACTGCAAACTCTGCCTCCCAGGTTCAAGCAGTTCTTGTGCCTCAGCCTCCTGAGTAGCTGGGACTGCAGGCACTCACCACCACACCCAGCTCATTTTTAGAAGAGATGGGGTTTCACCATGTTGGCCAGGCTGTTCTCAAACCCTGGACCTCAGGGGATCCACCCACCTCAGCCTCCCAAAGTGCTGGGATTACAAGCATGAGCCACTGTGCCCAGCCTCCCCCCCGCTTTTTAAAAAATATTTATTTTTATTTTAATTTTTGGATTAAGATGAGGTTTCACCATGTTGGTCAGGCTGGTCTTGAACTCCCAACCTCAGGTGATCAGCCCGCCTTGGCCTCTAAAGTGCTTGGATTACAGGTGTGAGCCACCACGCCCGGCCCTTTGTTTTTTTAAAAAATATATATATATATATATATATATATATATATATATATATATATATTTTGCCAGCCTCCCCTTTTTATTGAAACATTATTTATCAGGAGTCTTGCACTGTTGCCCAGGCTGGAGTGAAGTGGCACAATCTTGGCTCACTGCAACCTCCGCCTCCCGTGTTCAAGCAATTCTCCTGCCTCAAGCTCCTGAGTAGCTGACACTACAGGTCCCCACCTCCACACCCTGCTAAGTTTTGTATTTTTAGTAGAGATAGGGTTTTACCATGTTGGCCAGGCTGGTCTCAATCCTCGATCTCCTGACCCTGTGATGCGCCCACTTCAGTCTCCCAAAGTGCTGGGATAAAGGCATGAGCCACCGCACCTGGCCTATAATTTACATTTGTATTGTAAACTAATTTGTCTTTAATCTGGAGGTTTCATAAAATGCTAGAATCCATCAGCCAAAAGGAGACTTGGCAGCCATACCAGGGGAGCTCCTGAGGCTGTTCTCCGAAGCCAGCCTCTGGTGCTTTGGAGAACAGCCTCAGGAGGTCCCCTAGTATGACTGGGATTTAATCCTAGCAAGGGATGCTGCTTCCACGGCAGCCCCTGGGCTGTGGAAGCAGCATCCCTTGCTAGGAGAAAACCTTCCCAGCCTCTGGGAAGTCTGGAGAGGCACGGCTCTGGAGGAGAGGGCAGAGCCATTGCCTTGAAGAGCCTGCTCTGTGTGCCTCTGCCTGGCCTCCCTCCTCCCTGGCGATAAGCCCTTTTTTTTCCTGCCTGTGCCAGCTGACCCTTTCGGAAGTGAGCACCGGAGCTGCTACTGAGCAGGCAGAGGCGTCTGTGCTGTTTCTGGCCCTGACACTGGTGTGAGGCCTGGCATGCTGATCAGGGCTTGTCACAGGGTTTCTGAGTGCCGTTGGGTTAGACACAGCAGAAGAGTGGGTACTTAGACATTATTTGGTAGTGTGTTACATAGCATTCTTAAATTTTTTTTCAAAAAGTTACAAAACTTAATTTCATGGGTAGGATTTGTGGCTGCTGGTGGTGATGAGGACTATGAGAGGGAGTGGGGGTTGGCGGGCGCCTCCAGGATGGGACAGCATGTGAGGGGCACAGCTGGTGCCGAGGATGCCTGCAGATCTGCAGCTTTGTGAAGTCACCCTGCTGTGCACCACCTGGCCCGTCTCAGGCCAGGAGACCTTGTCGGCAGAGCTGTGCCAGGGCGGGCTGCGTCTTTGGTGTGCCTCAAGGCCCTACTTGTAAAAGCTGTTGAGGACCCCAGAGGGCTCTTGTTTATTGGGTTGTAGCTAATGATATTTACTGTAAAAGAAATGAAAACTGCAAAGTTAAAAAAAAATCACATAATTATTTTAAAACAAGGTAAATGTAACATTTTATTTACATGTTAGGGAAAACAACAGTTTTGTGGACAGTACTTCTGAATGAAAAAACTCATGTTGAGTGGCATTGTTTTCCACACTGGCCCATCTGTCACATCTGGGTACCCAAAGGGACAGCTGGATTTGCAGATGGGCTTCTGCACCCAGCTGGAGGTGATACTATCTCATAGGAAGAGAATCTGGCCTTACATAGATGTGTGGTTGGCAAGGGAGAAGGATTTAGATATCTTTTGAGATAATTGCAGATACTCTGCTTTGATACTACACCAAAACTCAACAAGGCGAAACTGTATCAGTGACCTTCTTCCTCTGTGAGGTTAAAGCCTGTGTGTGGTTTTGAATATTAGGCACTGGTCGTTTGGGGAACCCTGTCGCTCACCTTGTTAGGAAGAACTTCCCTGTGTTGACACGTTTTATTATGTGTATCAAAAATCATAGTCACTAATGGTACCTCCCGTGTCATGAGGAAAGTCTTTAAATAGGGGAAGCTGCCAGGCTTCAGGGGACAGATACACATTTACACATGCATCAGAAATTCAAAAGGTAGAGTTTTAACATTGGCAACAGATACTGCTGGTTGTTTTCTTTGAGGTTCACTGTGTTCTGTGAAAATGTCTGTCAAATATCCAGGTTTGAGTAGCATAGATTTTGCCAGTTGTTCTTTTAAGTGAAGATGCTCTGTGAGTGAGGAACACTGGGTCCCGCTCAGCCGTTGCACCCGGCCTCTGCTTGCCCCTTCCCCTGACATGGAACATTGCAGGCCGATGTTGAGTGAGGCCAGAATCTTACTGCCTCATCCAGGGCATTCCCAGGTGAGCCCCCAAGTGCCTAGTGGCCAAGAGTTCAGTTGCTGGAGCACACTTCCATGCCTTGGCCTGGTGGATTCAGCAGGGCTGATACCACTGCTTGGGCACTGTCTCTGTAAAAAAGGCAGTTGAGGTTCTAGCATTATTATGAAATAAGTTTTGACCTACTGGACTCCTGGAAGGATTGCGGGGATCCTGGAGACCTCCTGTTGGTGGGTAGATTTGAAGGGTGCAGGCTGCTGGCTGTCGTACAGCTGTACTGGGCCAGGAAGGGTAGTGTGCCTGCATGCTTGAGGGCCGGCATGAGCAGCTGGGTTGCTTGTCCCTGGTTTGGCAGTGGTTGATCGGGGCTGGGAGTCGGATACCTGGTCCCCAACCCCCTGCCTGACCATGAAGGGGTGGGCTGGGCACCGTTGCTGAGACTAGCTCCTGAGGAAGGCGATGCAGTTAGGTCAGGTGTTACCAAGTCGGCTGAGAGGGCAGCCAGGTCATGGATCTGAACCCTGAAAAGCAATAGCCACATCCACCACAGGTGGGGCCCGGCTTGGTGTCTGCTTTGTGAGGAGGCACTGGTCTGTTGAGAGGCTCCACTGTTGACACATTTTCTCATCCAGATGCTGGACACCCAGGTTTTTGCAAACTCTTATACTTTTTACCTGCTGGATGGAAACAGGTTGTGGTCGGCCTTCTGCAGCTGTCTGACCAGCTGCTCCTAGCGACCTTGGGCATGTCTGTGCCTTTCCTCATCTGGTCATGGACTCCTGGAGCACCAAATATGCCTGACTCAGTTGCTCATATTTTATCACCCTGACCCGGAGGCTTCCTGCCCACTTGCAGTTTCCAGTGGTTTCTCCGAAGGGTTTCTGCAGTATCACATCACCAAGCTTGGTTGTCAGCTTGACAGTTCCCATCTTGCAGCTTGGCCTTTGAAACTGCCTAGAGTGGTCAGCATCCCTCCTCCTCCCAGGCCCCTGATGTGGGCGGGGCCTGGGCGGACTCCCTGCTGTGGTCAGCACCCCTCTTCCCAGGCCCCTGATGTGGGCGGGGCCTGTGCGGCCTCTCTACTGCCTTTTCTTGGATTCCATGGTCTTGCTGCTGTGTCGAGAGTCCTTGCTATGACTGTTTTATGTGTTTATGTTCCCTTTACCAACCAGACTCTAAGCTTCTTGAAGGCAAGGATTTTTGTTTAAAAAAACAAAATTATGTCCACATGCGGTGGCTCATGCCTCTAATCCCAGCACTTTGGGAGGCCGAGGTAGGCGGATTACTTGAGATCAGGAGTTTGAGACCAGCCCCGCCAACATAAGGAAACCCCCGTCTCTACTGAAAATACAAAACTGAGCCGGGTGTGGTGGTGTGCACCTGTAGTCCCAGCTACTTGGAAGGCCAAGGCCTGAGAATCGCTTGAACTGTGGAAGCAAAGGTTGCACCGAGCAGAGATCTCGCTACTGTACCCAGCCTGTGCGAGAGAGTGAACTCTGTCTCAACAACAAAAAAATTTTTAAGAGGCCTTGTACGATATATGCCTTTACTTACTAGATGTTTAATCTCAAATATTTAGTGATTTAAGTTTCTCATTGAATTTTGTTGATTTATCTATTTCTATAGTTTTTTGTAGGAGGTTGGACATTTGAATTGTATGAATTATTGTCAGCAGCAGAATGCATTTTGAAATAAATTGTAACATTCCTGTAACAAAGCCAAAAGATTTCAGATATCTAATTCTATAAATAATACATGAATACGCTTTTATTGTTAAAAAACTGTCTCCAAAAACAGAAGTGCAACAGAAGTTTCCTTGGACTGTGTTCTGACTGCCAGTTTTTCCCTTGGAGGTGACCATAACGGGCTGGCAGGAGTAAGTCTGACTGTCCAGCGCTAATGGTGAAGGTTGTAACCGTGACTTTTTGACTTTTTCCAAATGATGACCATTGGAAAAGCCATGCTGACGTGTTGTACGGTCAGCCTCCCGATGAACCCGGCTGATGACTGTTGTTTCTTTCTCACAGGCAGTTCCGGCAAGAGGGGAGCCTCAGCAAGATTGCTGTGTGAAGACGGAGCTGCTGGGAGAAGGTGAGGGCGCTGTGCACAGAGGGACAGGAGCAGAGCTTCCCTCCAACCTGGAAACCCGCTGCTCCTCCTCGCTTCATTTGTCCCCGTCTTCTGACATTCTTCGCGTTACCTAGGTTTATGCTGTCGTTCTCATGTATCCCATTCCTAAATAGACACAGTGGCACAGGCACACACAAAAGCTGTGCCAGAGAGAGAACACATTTGTCCAAGCAGGAGGAGCAAAAATCCTGCATATCCTTGTCTTAAAGTACACCCAGAAAATTAAAAGTGAGGGGCCACACAAATGTTTGTAGCAGCACTGTTCATGTCACTGAAAACCGGAAGCACTCAGGTGTCCTCAGTTGATAATGAACTGGAGGAACAGAGTGTGGTGCATCCGTACAGTGGGACAGTGGTCAGCAGCACAGAACATGCGGCAGGAGTCAGGCCGCACCAAGGATGAAGCTTAGGTATGATTTGTTAAGTGACAGAGGCCAGACCCAAAAGGCCACGAACTGCATGGCTCCAGTTTTGTGACGGAGACGTGGAGGACAGCCGTGGTTACCAGGAGGTGGAGGGAGAGCAGGGTGAGGGCAGTGGGCGATGCTCCGCTCCTCTGTAAGGTGTGGTGCAGGCTTCCCATGTGCTTGCAGAGCTTGCACCAAGAGTGGCCCCGGGAAATGAGGGCGATGGCGCCACACGAACTGTGCTGTACTCCACAGTGAATGGAGAGCCGGGCGGCTTTGGAGTACAGTGTTGTGGCTGGACCCCACAAGGCTGGCAGCTGTGGGAGCAGCTCAGACCCTGGCCTTGCCTAAGGCTTTCCCAGCTGGAGCCTGCTCGGCCCCTCATGGATTGCAGGCTGTGGCCCTGCCGTGTCCTCCTTGCACCCCAGACGGCCTCTCTGTGCCTGTGGGTGCCCATCCGCCCACTGACTGTGCACTGTGGGGACCGCTGCCCGCCTCTGCTGCCACCTCTGGCCCGCCGTCCAGAGTTGCCCCGACTCCCTGCGCGCGCCGTCCACCTCCTGCAGCCCACCTGGGTGTTTTCTTCCTGTCGTTTGGCTTCTTCCTGTGGCCGTCCCATCTGAGTCTTTGAACTGTTTCTTCTGTCGGCTCCAGTGCCCTCTGGCTCTTTCCTCCTCTCTCTGTGGTCGCCCCTCCTTTGACCTTTCTAGTGGGACTTGTTTCCTACGTGACGCTGGATGCCACAAGCACCGTGTTATTACACTGCCCTTGAGGCCCTGCCTGTGCCCTGCTCCTGTACACGCTGCCACCGAGCCACGGACTGACCGCTCTGGGGAACTGCCGGACCCTCCGGTGGCCACACCGTGTCGCTTTCCCTGCAGCAACTGCAGAGGACTCCAGGTTCTCCACATCCTGGCCACTGCTCTTAGCGTCTGTGGCCGTCCTGGTGGATGTGAGGTGGCATCTCACTGTGGTTTTGGTTTGCATTTTCCTGACGGCCAGTGATGGTGAGCATCGTTGCATGTGGTTATTGGCCATCTTGGTGTCATCTTTGGAGAATCTCTCTTTAGATTCTGTGATTTCAGATTGGATTGATTTTTATGGTTGAGTTTCAGAGTTCTTCATGTAAGTAGAAGTCCCTTGTCAGCCATGTGATTCACACATATTTCCTCCTGGTCTGTGGCTTGTCTTTCCCCTTTCTTGATGGTGTCCTTTGAAGTACAGATGTTTTTAGTTTGAATGAAGTCCACCTTACCTGTTTTTTTTTTTTTTTTTCCTTTTAGCTGCTAGTGCTTTTGGTCTGACATCTAAGAAATCATTACTTAATAGAAGATCACAAACACTTAACGTTTGTTTTTTTCTTCTTGGAGTTTTATAGTTTTATCTTTTTATTTAAGTTTTTGATCAATTTTGAGTTAATTTTTGTATATGGTTTGAAGTAGGAGACCAACTGTATTATTTTGCAAGTTACTAATCAGTTGTCCCAGCAATGTTTATGAAAAAGACCTTTCTTCCTGATTGAATTTTTCTTGTATCCTCATTGAAAATCAGTTGGCTTTAAATGTGAGGGTTTATTCTAGGGTTTTCTTTTCTTTCGGCAGGGTCTCCCTGTGTAATCCAGGCTGCAGTGTGATCACAGCTCACTCTAGCCTCCACCTCCCTGGGCTCAGGCAGTCCTACCACCTCAGCCTCCCAAGAAGCTGGGACCACAGGTGTGAGCCACCACACCAGGCTTTTTTTTTTTTTTTTTTTTTTTTAAAAGAGACACTGTCTCCCATTGTTGGTCTTGAACTCCTGGGCTCAAGTGATCTGCTTTCTTCAGCCTCCCAAAATGCTGGGATTACAGGTGTGAGTCACCATGCCCAGCCCCTAAGTATTATATTTTTTGATGCTATTTTAAATAGAGTTATTTTTAAAATTCATTTTCATTTTGATCATTGATATTGTGTAGAAATACAATTGATTGGCTGGGCGCGGGAGGCCAAGGCGGGCAGATCACGAGGTCAGGACAGCCTGGCCAACATGGTGAAACCCATTCTCTACTAAAAATACAAAAATTAGCCAGGCATTGTGCTTGTAATCCCAGCTACTGGGGAGGTTGAGGCAGGAGCATTGCTTGAACCCAGGAGGCAGAGGTTGGGGTGAGCAGAGATGGTACCACCGCAATCCAGCCTGGTCATCAGAGCAAGACCCCATCTTAGGAAAAAAAAAAGAAATACAATTGATTTTTGTATATTGATCTTATATCGGGTAACCTTGCTAAACTCCTTTATTAGTTCTAATAATTTAGACTTCCTTGGGAATTTCTGTATAAAAGCTTGTGCCATCTTTAGAGCTCAGTTTATTTCTTCCTTTCCAATCTGTGTATCTTTTATTTCTGTTTCTTCCTTCATGGCCCTATTTAGAATCTCCATTGTGGGGTTGAATAGAAGTGGCAAGAATGGACATCCTTGTCCGGCTTCTGATCTTAGGGAGAAAGCTTCCAGGCTTTTACTTTTAAGTGTGATGTTCGCTATAGGTTTTTCATGTATACCCTGTGTCAGATTGAGGAAGTTCTCTTTTCTTAGCAAACCATTTGCTAAGTGTTTTGACCATGAAGGGGTGTTGATTTTTTTCTGTCTATTGAGATGCTTATGTGGTTTTGTCCTTTATTTTGTTCTATTGATATTTGGCATATTAATTCATTTTTAGCTATTAAACCAACCTTGCATTTCTGGGGTTAAATCCCACTTGTTCATGGTGTTTAATCCCCCTCACCAATTTTTTGGTGGGGAAGGGGAGCTGGATTCAGTTTGTTCCTTTTTTTTTTTTTTTTTTTTTTTTTCCAGTATGAGAACTGTCACCTGGGCTGGAGTGCAGTGGTGCAGTCATAGCTTACTATAGCCTTGACGTTCTAGACTCAAGTGATCCTTCTGCCTCCACCTCCTGAATAGCTGGGACTACAAGTGTGCACCTCCATGACTGGCTAATTTTGTTATTTTTGGTACAGATGGAGTCTCACTATGTTGCCCAGGTGAGTCCTGAACTCCTGGGTTCAAGCGGTTGTCCCTTCATGGCCTCCCAAAGTGCTGAAATTACAGGCGAGAGCAACCATGCCCAGCCTATAGATTTCTTAATTTGAGGGGACTTGGCAGCTTTGTAATGTTGTCATCCCATTTAGGAGGATGAAATGCCCTCCATTTAACTTCCCCCCCCCCCCCCCAACATGCTGGCTTTGAGTAATCTTGGCAGATTTTCTAATACCCTTTGTAGTTTTCCCTACTTTTGTGAATGATACTTTTTTCCTTACATTTTCTGGCTAATATTGATACAAAGAAATGTCCTTGATTTTGTAACACGATTTCAAATTCGGCAGTCTTGTTGTACTCTTGGGTTTTAGTTGCTAATTGGTTCTGTTGTTTTAAGTGAATGATGGTGTCAGGTGCAGGTGAGAACAGTTTGCCTTCGTTTCCAGACCCTGCCCCTCACATTCCTCTTTCCCTTTGGTGTTATCCACACTGCCTTTTTATGTTAGACACTGGTAGTGTCAATAGATCTTATATGCGAGTGGTTTAATATTTAAATACACATTTGCTGCAGGATTTGGTATACAGCCTTCTCCAGGTTAAGGAAGTTTCCGCTTACTCTGTTTTGCTAAGGGTTTTAAAAACACAGCTGTTTATTCAGAACACACACACGAGATGCCAGGCGTGTCGATGTGCTGAGTACACTGGTGAACAGACGAAACGCTTGCGCTCACAGGACTCGGCGTCCTAGGGTGGAAGGACAGACGGTCAGCATGACAGATGATCAGGCCTGTTGTGTTCGAGGTGATAAGCACCAGGAAGAACAGAGCCAGGAAGGAGGGTGCCGGGTGTTGTCTCACGCTTGGCTGATGCTCCTTGTGCACCCAGCAATGATGCCATCCATCCGTCGCAGGCTTCCTGCTCCAGCCTGTCTGAGGTGAAGCGTGTTCATCGGTCTCATGATGTGAAACAGCATCTCCTTCTTGACTGCCCTAGATATGATTTCCTGGCGTTGCCATCGGAGAGTGAGTTGCTGTAGGGTGTGGTCAGCAGACCACGGACATGCTCGAGTATAGCCTTTTTCTGACCCATTTTCTCTGTTAGTTCTTGTGAACCCACTTCTGAAGCCTTGTTTTCTGTCTCCAAATAATACTACAATTTTTATTATAGTGGTGATTCCCCAAACTTAGCCATCTAACGTTCAAAGTTAATGCTTAAGAAATGTTTGCATTTAATATGTTTGAACTGATAGCTCGTTTGTTTATGAAAAAAAATTTTCTTTAGACAGTTTTATATAAGCCATTCAGAGAAATTGTGTTGGCGGTGATGTCATGGTGGGGGAGGGAATTGTGTTGGGGATGGTGTCATGGAGGGGAGGAAATTGTGTTGGTTGGGTGAAGTCATGCAGCGCTGGACCTGCAGCCATTGACACTCCTTTCTCCTCTATTGGCAGAGACACCTATGGCTGCCGATGAAGGCTCCACAGAGAAACAGGCAGGAGAGGCCCACTTGGCTGCTGACGGTGAGACCAATGGGTCTTGTGAAAACAGCGACGCCAGCAGTCACGCAAATGCTGCAAAACACACTCAGGAGAGCGCAAGGGCCAACACCCAGGATGGCACCAGCACACTAACCCGGATAGCGGAGAACGGGCTTTCAGAAAGAGACTCGGAAGCGGGGAAGCAAAACCACGTCACCACCGACGACTTTGTGCAGACTTCTATTGTTGGCAGCAATGGATACATCTTAAATAAGCCGGCCCTGCAGGCGCAGCCCTTGAGGACTACCAACACTCTGGCCTCTTCACTGCCTGGCCATGCTGCAAAAACCCTTCCTGGAGGGGCTGGCAAAGGCAGGACTCCAAGCGCTTTTCCCCAGACGCCAGCTGCCCCACCAGCCACCCTTGGCGAGGGGAGTGCTGACGCAGAGGACAGGAAGGCCCCGGCCTCTGGCACCGACGTAAAGGTCCACAGGGCACGCAAGACCATGCCGAAGTCCGTCGTGGGCCTGGTAATTTTGTGTCTTCTCTTGCTGTTTCCTTTTCCCCATCTCTTGTTTTAATCACAGCAAATGGACTTTGGTGCACTGAGGAGAAGCCAGTAAGTGTCAGTGGTTATCTGACAGGGCCTGTGAGGAGCTAGCCGAGGGCTGGGGTCAGTGGTTCACACCTGTTATCCCAGCACTTTGGGAGGCTGAGGTGGGTGGATTGCTTGAGCCCAGGAGTTCGAGACCAGCCTGGGCAACGTGGCAAAACTCAAAATTTTGTAAAAAATGCAAAAATTAACTGGGCATAGTGGTGCGCACCTGTAAGTCCCAGCTACTCGGGAGCCTGAGGTGGGAGGATTGCTTGGGTCTGGGAGACGGAGACTGCAGTGAGCCCAGATCACCCCACTGCACTCCAGCTTGGGCAGCAGAGTGAGACCCTATCTCAAAAGAAGAAGAAATGCTGCTAATGTCTCAGGCATGAGTGCCAGAGCCTCGATTCCTTCTTGGGCTTTGCCCTCCTCACAGGGTGCTGTTGCCCTCTGTAGAAAGATAATGTCAGGTGCTTTCAAGGAGGCCACTTCCTCCTCTGCTTTGGACTTTGGGGCTTTCCTTCTGGCTAGGAGAGACTCGGCACTCATGCTGTTTCATTGAGAAGTGAATAGAAATGACCTTGGTTAGAGCCAGCGTGGGACAGAGTGGAGAGGCAGCTGGCCACCTGGACATATGCCCAGGTCTCCCTCCCAACCCTGAGAGCAGATGAGACTTGAATCCTGAGTGCTTCACACAGGCAGGGCGTGCCTGCCTGTCACACGCACTGTGCTGATGTTCACACACACGACTCACCTGCCTGTCACACGCACTGTGCTTATGTTCACACACACGGCTCACCTGCCTCTCACACACACTGCGTTCATGTTCACACACACGACTCACCTGCCTCTCACACGACTCACCTGCCTTCACACGCACTGTGCTTATGTTCACACACAACTCACCTGCCTCTCACATGCACTGTGCTGATGATGTTCATACACACAACTCACCTGTCTCACACATCCACTGTGCTTATGTTGACACACAACTCACCTGCCTTCACATGCACTGTGCTGATGTTCACACAGGACTCACCTGCCTCTCACACACAGTGTCCTGGACTCATGACCATACCTTACATGGTGTGTTCACAGTACGTTTTTCAAAGTGTGGGCAGGGTTTTTAATGTGCTCTCCCAGTTGGACGTCTCTTTGGGCGGAAGTTCTAGGTTGTGGTTGCATTCTCATGGAATTCTCTTTGGGCGTGAGTTGTAGGTTCATGGTCACATTCTCGTGGAATTCCCTTTGGGCGTGAGTTGTAGGTTCGTGATCACATTCTCGTGGAATTCCCTTTGGGCGTGAGTTGTAGGTTCGTGGTCACATTCCCATGGAATTTTCTGTCTGATGTTGCTGGTGAACATTCTCAAGCTGCCTCCTTGTCCTTGGTTTGTAGATAATCTGCTCTTTCGTCTCAGCCCTGTTTCAGGGCTTACAGCCCTGTCACCTGGAGGGCTGTGTCTTCAGCTCCAGAGGAATGCTGTGTCTGACTGTTCTTTCCATTTTCCTCCCATGGAGCCCCTCCTAGACGGTTGACTCCGCAGTCCCCCTGGGCTGCTGTCTGTTGCCAGCCTCCTAATTGGTTCCTCACTTTCTCCTTCTTGCTTTTCGTCCCATATATTGATATGTTTTATTTTGGCTTCTGTGTTTTTCATGCCCAATATCTCTCGTTGTTTCTTTTTTTTTTATTGTTTGAGATGGAGTCTCGCTGTAGCCCAGGCTGGAGTGCAGTGGCGCCATCTCGGCTCACTGCAGCCTCTATCTGTGGGATTCAAGCGATTCTCCTGCCTCAGCCTCCCAAGTAGCTGGGACTACAAGTGCTTGTCACCATGCCTGGCTAAGTTTTGTATTTTTAGTAGAGACAGGTTTCACCATGTTAGCCAGGCTATTCTCAAACTCCTGACCTCAGATGGTCTGCCCACCTCAGGCCTCCAAAGTGTTGGGGTGGGTGAGCCACCGCACCTGGCCTGATTAGTTCTTTTAAAATCTTGCCTTATCTTTCAAAAGATAATGATTATAATTCTTCTGTAATCTCTGTTATGGATTCCAATTCCTCACGTGGGAGTTTCTCTTACACTTGATACCTCTTGTTTGTGGTTTTTTTTTTCCTCTGAGGTTTAGCTTTTTTCTCTCTCTAGGGTATCTCCATGTTTGTTTCTGTCACTGTGTCTCAGCCTGTGAGTGCTGTGTGCGTGTTCTGTGGACTGCCTGCAGTGACCACGGCGGGTGGTGGGTGCTGTGGGCTGGACTGCCCGCAGTGACCACAGTGGGTCGGGGGTGCTGTGGGGCTGGACTGCCCGCAGTGACCACAGTGGGTCGGGGGTGCTGTGGGGCTGGACTGCCCGCAGTGACCACAGTGGGTCGGGGGTGCTGTAGGGCTGGACTGCCAGCTCCTCGAGCCCACAGCTGCCAGGTGCCTGTCCACTCCTTGGACAGACAGGGCAGGTGCCTTGTGGTGCTGACAGCTGCCCTATCCCTGGGGCTTCTCCACTCCCAGCCTGGCCAGTCTGACCCAACTTCCGCCTTTTGCAGTATTCTTCTGTACATGTCAAGACTTTAGAAAATCCTTAAAATAATCATAGCGTTACAGGAAACTGCACAAATACTACAGAGAGAGCCTGTGTCCATTCCACCCAGTGTCCCTCAGTGGTGAAGTCTTTGATAACTAGAGGACTGTGTCAGGCCCAGGACGCTGACATCGGTCAAGTCCGTGGGGCTTGCTTGATTTCGCCATTGCCTGTGTGCATGTGCACGTGTAGGGAGTTCTGTGCAGTGTGGCTGTGTGTAGATGGTGTTACCACCATCACAGTCGAGACGCGAAGTACTCTTTACACTGGAGGTCCTGACGCCACCTGTGTCGCCGCCAACCAGACTTGAGCCTCTGCCAGCCTCTCACCTGCAGATTCCACTTTAACAATTTTGTTATTTCAGATTTTTTGTTTTCTGTGTTTTTTTTTTTTTTGAAACGGAGTTTCACTCTTGCTACCCAGGCTGGAGTGCAACGGTGCGATCTCGGCTCATGGCAACCTCTGCCTCCTGGGTTCAGGCAATTCTCCTGTCTCAGCCTCCCAAGTAGCTGGGATTACAGGCATGCGCCACCATGCTCAGCTAATTTTTTGCATTTTTACAAAATACATGGTTTCACCATGTGGACCAGGATGGTCTCGATCTCTCGACCTCGTGATCCACCTGTCTTGGCCTCGTTTTGTGTTTTTTTAAGACAGGATCTCACTCTGTTGCCCAGTCTGGAGCTCTGTGATGCGATCACAGCTCATTGCAGCATTTGCCTCCTAGGCTTAAGTGATCCTCCTGCCTCCACCTCCCCAGTAGCTGGGTTTACAGGTGTGCATCACAATGCCTGGCTATTTTTTGTATTTTTGTAGACACAGGATATTGTTATGTTGGCCAGGCTGGTCTTGAATTCGTGACCTCAGGTGATCTGCCTGCCTCGGCCTCCCGAAGTGCTGGGATTACAGGCATGAGCCAATGTGCCCGGCCTACTTCAGATTTTCTATAAATGGAATTACAGTGTATGTAACCTTTTGAGAGTGGCTTTTGTCACTCAGCATAGTTCTTTTAAGATTTATACAAGTTGCTGGGTGCGGTGGCTCACATGACTGTAATCTCAGCAGTTTGGGAGGCAGATCACCTGAGGTCAGGAGTTCAAGACCAGCCTGGCCAACATGGTGAAACCCCGTCTCTACTAAAAATAAAAAATTAGGTGGGCATGGTGGCAGGTGCCTGAAATCCCAGCTACTCGGGAGGCTGAGGCAGGAGAATTGCTTGAACAGGGAGGTGGAGGTTGCAGGGAGCCGAGATTGCGCTATTGCACTCCAGCCTGGGCAACGGAGCGAGACTCCGCCTCAAAAAAAACAAATAAAGATCTATACAAGTTATGTCACTAGGCCGTCCCTTGCTCTGCTGAGGCCTTGGTGTTCTGTGGGTTGTTGGCGCTCACCTGCTGAAGGGTACTGGGCATTTTTACAGTAGAGCTGCTCTGAACTTTTATGTACGCATTTTGGACATAGAGTTGACCTCTGTGTGTCAGATACACAGGAGTATAATCACTGGGTTGTATGGCCTCTGGGTGTTTAGTTTTACGAGGAAAATGCTGAAGCACACTCCAGAGGGGCTGCAGCATTTCACATTCCCACCCACAACCTGGGAGCAACTGCTGTGTTTTCTGCTGTCCTCACCAGCATTTTTTGTTACCCGTTTCTTTTTCTTTTGAGATGGAGTTTCGCTCTGTTGCCCAGGCTGGAGTGCAGTGTGTGATCTCGGCTGACTGCAACCTCCACCTCCTGAGTTCAAGCAATTCTCCTACCTCAGCCTCCCAGGTAGTCGGGATTTGAGGTGCATGCCACCACACCCAGTTAATTTTTGTATTTTACTAGAGATGGGGTTTCGCCATGTTGTCCAGGATGGTCTCAATCTCCTGACTTCATGATCCACCCGCCTCAGCCTCCGAAAGTGCTGGGATTACAGGCGTGAGCCACCGCATGTGGTCTGTTTTGTATTTTAGCCCTTCTGTGGGTATGCTCTTGTCTCCTCGTAGCTTCAGCGTGAACGTGCCTGTGACTGCTGATGGGAAGCATCCACTCCCATGCCTCTCATGCTCCCCCTTCCCACGCCTCTCCCCCTCCCCCTCCCACCCTCTCACGCTCCCCCCTCCCACCCTCTCACGCTCCCCCTCCCACCCTCTCACGCTCCCCCTTCCCACCCTCTCACGCTCCCTCTCCCACCCTCTCACCCTCTCACGCTCCCCCCACCCTCTCATGCTCCTCCCTCCCACGCCTCTCACACTCGCCCCTCCTACCCTCTCACGCTCCCCCCTCCCACCCTCTCACGCTCTCCCCTCCTACCCTCTCACGCTCCCCCCTCCCACGCCTCACACTCGCCCCTCCCACGCCCTCACACTCGCCCCTTCCACCCTCT